TATGAGTAACTGTATTCAGTTACAGTTACTGTTTCAGTGAGTGGTAATTGGATTACAGTTACTTTGTTGAGGCGGTATTTTCCTGTTTTCACATTTTGGGCTATATCCCTTTTTTTTTTTTTTTTTTTTTTTTTTTTTTTTTGGGTAATTCCACTCATTGCTGGAAACTAAACCAGGTCTAAACTAGATCTTAACTATGTCTAAACCAGGTCTAAACCAGGACTAAAACTAGGTCTAAACTAGATCTAAACTAGATCTGTCTAAACCAGGTCTAAACCAGGTCTAAACCAGGACTAAAACCAGGTCTAAACCAGGACTAAAACTAGGTCTAAACTAGATCTAAACTAGATCTAAACCAGGTCTAAACCAGGACTAAACCAGGACTAAAACCAGGTCTAACAGGTCTAAACTCAGGACTAAACCAGGTCTAAACTAAACCAGGTCTAAACAGGTCTAAACCAGGACTAAAACCAGGTCTAAACCAGGCTAAACCAGGACTAAACCAGGACTAAACCAAGTCTAAACCAGGTCTAAACCAGATCTAAACCAGGCCTAAACCAGGACTAAAACCAGGTCTAAACCATGTGTAAAACAGGACTAAACCAGGACTAAAACAGGATTTAACAGGATTAAACCATGCTGCGTGGACGTGTCTCTTCGTCTTATCAGTAATAATTTTAATACGGTTCAGTAAAGTCTGGCCTTTTTATTTTCTTTTAGCAGATAAAACATCTTATCTTACGATATTCTAGTCTTTGCTTCTCTACAGCAAATCAAGTAATCCAAAGTATTCAGATTACGTTACTCACTTTAAGTAAATTAATGGATTCCGTTACAAACTACATTTTGGGGTATGTAATCTGTAATCTGTAGGGGATTACATTTTAAAAGTCACCTTCCCAACACTGCTAACAGATAACAGCTGCCTGAATTATCATTGCATTGCATTATTAGTAAATCATTCTCTCTTGGTTTACTAATCATTAATAAATGCTCAAACGTGCACTTAAATATGCATTTATAAACATGCAAATGGTTAGTTCATGAGTAATTAAGAAGTGTTGAGTAACTATTTACAGCACAGGCGAATTAAGTGCAAGTTAAAGGTTGTATAGAGGATTTTTTTAAGGGAAGAGAAATACAGCGACAGTCCTTGTGCGCATTCAGAATTACTGTTGAAGTGACCTGTCTCGAAGTAATTCAGCGACTAACGCATCAGTTTTTAGACCCTTCGTCTGCTTCGGTCGCGCCATCGCTGGACGAGATCTCCAAGAATCACCTCAGTTTGGTTTTGCTCCTTTTCCTCTTCTCTTCTTCTTTCAGCGACCTCAAAAACGGACTTTCTTTTGCAGCGAACCGGTCGTGGATTCTCGTCCGCCGTCGCGACAAACTTTGTGCGAAATGCGAGGAAGCGACAGTTCGAAAAAGCCTCTAAGAACCGCTGCGTAAACCACGTAATCCCCGACGAGTCAGTTATACTAGGGAGTTTGATTGACAACCCAACAGCCAATAGAAAATGAGGGAGCCTCGTTTTCTATTGGCTGATGTTTATCTGGCCTCAACACGTCCACAGTTGATAGATTTTCGTTCTTTTTTTTTTGGTCCTCATAATTACAAAGCTGCTGCGTCTCTGTTATGGTATTTTAATCTTTCACTGACAGTTTGAAACAAAAAAAAATCCTCCATACAACCTTTAAGTGCTAATTCAGGTAGTAATTAAGTAGTTACTAAGCCTGAATCATTATTAATTAAGTCTTTGTTCATGCTTTATTAAGGCTAAATAAGGTGTAGTTATTATAAAGTGTTGCCGTATTATTGTCTGCCCAAAATAAGGGAAAACTAGTCTAGGTCTACAGAGGGGACCGTGTTGTTTTGTATGTCACTCACAGAGGCTGGTTTAGTGTCCACTCTGAGCTGGACTGTGTAAATCAGTGTGGAGCCAGACCCTTCATCAAAAGGACAGCAGCCTCTTCTCTGCCAATTCTCACATCACTGTCACCACATACAAGTCCTCTGAAGTCCTTTTTAGTCCTTTTTAGTCACGCCTCGACTCTCACCTTGTCCCGTTCTGTGTTTTTTGTCACAGAATTTAAATAAACGCATTAAAAAAAGAAAGAAGCGTGCATTATTTTGAACGAGCTCTTCTCCCCGCAGATCAGTCCCGCAACTTAACCTGCTTGTCTCACTGGAAATTTAATGCAATAAATTAGGGATGCAACGATACTTGTTCGATGTTGGTCTCATGATTCGTTACACGTGTTCGTTCGATACACGAGTCGATATGCACGTGTCCCTCCATATGCGCTCTGTCTGTGTTGTCATTTATTTTGGTCCAAAAGGAAAACAGTTATCGCGGCGTCCTCCTCAGATGCAGCAGAAAACAGCTCCATATGGACTTACAGCTGAAATATTCTAACAGAGGAGGGTTTTATCTTTCAGTCACTTTTTATTTTACGTTGATTGACCCAGAAATGACAAAGATAATAACTTTTAAATACTTTAGAATTGATTTTCACTTCATGCATGTGACTCGTGATATACACAACCTTTTTCTCAGACTCTGTCTCATAAGTTTTAGTCAGAAAATGGTCCGTTGAGACATTTCTGTGTAATATGACGTAGTTTTAGTGTCCGGAAAGAGAATGGGAAAGCGCAGTGTGTCACAGACTGTAGGGGGCAGTGTGGGAGGAGCTACGTACTGTTTCTGATGGAGACGAGGCAGAGCAGCGCTGACACAGTCGTGTGCACTTACTGAGAGGACTCATGAGGAAAAGAAATCATCAAATCATCATCAAAGTAGGAAAAGTCTGATAGTGTAACTCCCCTTCAGTCTATATTAAGAGGAGACTGACGACATTATAAAATATAAAACAGCCTGAGAAAACTCTCTTCTTATTTTCACTGAATACAAATTCTGAGCTGTAAATCAATGAACCAAAACTATTATATTATATTATACTCGTTTTTTTAAATGTTTTTTTATGTATCGAAATATAATCGATATCGTGGCCTGTATATCGAGATATGTAAAAACCATATGGTTGCATCCCTAGAATAAATGTAATGCCATAGTGTGGAACATCCAGTGTTGGGGAGTAACAGATTACATGTACCGGAGTTACGTAATCAGAGTACAAATTATGAGTAACTGTATTCAGTTACAGTTACTGTTTCAGTGAGTGGTAATTGGATTACAGTTACTTTGTTGAAATAAATGGATTACACGGCGGTATTTTCCTGTTTTCACATTTTGGCCTAAACCAGGACTAAACCAGGACTAAACCAGGTCTAAACCAGGACTAAAACCAGGTCTAAACAAATGCTAAAACTAGGACTAAACCAGGACTTAACCAGGTCTAAATCAGGATTTAACCAGAACTAATCCAGGACTAAAAGGACAGTAAGCAAAAGTCTGTTCATGGAGACTTGGACTCAACAGACAATTTGAAGACAACAAACACGAATTTTCAGGATGTGGTTGCTACATTCATGTAGTTTTAAAAAGCATGACAATATCAAGTAATCCAAAGTATTCAGATTACGTTACTCACCTAAAGTAATTTAATGGATTACGTTACAAACTACATTTTGGGTTATGTAATCAGTAATCTGTAGGGGAATACATTTTAAAAGTAACCTTCCCAACACTGGGAACATCTCCAGGGTGACAAGCAGGTGGTGAACACTGCAACAGAAAAGGTTACATAGTGCAGATTTGAATCCTACGTTTAGAAAAGTAAAAAAAAAAAAAAAAAATCATCAAAATTTATCACTTAAAATACTTTCATTTGAATAGACCATTTTGTAATATGTTTGCAATGGTGTTTTATATGACAGTAGAATTGTTAGTTTGTTTTTTATGTGTTGTTCAAAATGTGTAAATGATAAAACATTTTAATAAACTTCTTTCTTCATTTTTGAGGTTCATGCGCTGAGGTTTAGGTCGTGACTATTCAGATCAGAGATCGGCATTTTAGATTTAAACTTTTAAGGTGCACTGTGTAACATTTTGTCTGTGGGCTTGAATCCATGGAGATGATATTGGTTTTTCCTGGAATGTTCCACAGTATAGCATTACACTTATTTATCTTGCATTTATTTCATTTTGGATTGCTACTGCTCCAGTAAACATGCTTTCTCACAGTGAGCGGGGCTTGGTTCTCCACCGATCTGACTCGTAACTTAGCTCGACTGTGTCACCTAATTATCTCCATGAGGTTTCCTGCTCTACTGTGGAACAATTATGGCAAAGAAATAACATCTCCATGGTGACAGGCAGATTGCAAACCCTCTTACTATTGTCGTTGAGAATAATAATGATGACAATAATGATAATAATGAAAGTGATGGCGACAGTAAGGATGTTATTCATTTTCTGTGTTTATTTTTATTATTATTATTATGATATTTACTTAATTTTATTTTATTTTCATAGTTTTATTATAGTGTTTTTCTTTTTTATTTATTTATTCATTTATTTATGTATTTATTATTTATTAATTTTAATTTTTTTACATTTAGGTTCTGTCATGGTAAGCTGGAACTCTGTTTTTTGTTGCTTATTGTACTTTGTATTTTATTTGGCCTATATAATCCCGCAAAATGTTGGTCAGGAATTTAAAAAAATATATATATTATGAAGTAATTCAAAATAATGAAATTCAAGTTAATAATATAAAATTGCTAAATAAATAGTACAACAAAATATTGTAACATAGTAATTTTAAATAATGGAAATTAAATCAATAATATAAAATCTGATACATTAATATGATCATAAAAAAGGAAAGATAAGAATTAATAAAAAAATAAAAATATTGTGAGAAAGAAAACTATACATATGGATGTGGTATTATGAAAACATGTACGGATAAGTTTATTTGTAATTATTATATACGCTTGGTCACCTTTAGAAAATAAAAAATAAAATTCCACAAAGCTTACAATTCCTCTACCAGAAAAGTTACATAATTTGAGACGTATTTTGCGCCGTAACTGACCTGGTAGTGTGTCGTATGGCCCTGAAGATGCAGAAGTAGCAGAAGATGATGATGCCCAGAGGGATGAAGAAGACGAAGGTGAAGAGGAGCATGGTGTAAGAGCGGACCAGAGGCGTGAAGGTCATGTAGTCCCACGAGCAGGAAGTCATCAGCCCCTCTGGAACGTACGCGCCTGTCGAGACAAAGGATCCATTCTTAATTTTACAACACGGACTTGGAGAAGGTCTGGACTCGTCAGCAGAGGGAGACGGAAACCACAGTAACTTGTCTGGGGAAGGGTCCGTCAAATACTTTTCTCCATGGTGATGTTATTGCTTGGTCTGGAATGTTACACAGTATGACATTAAACAGTTCTACCTTATGTCTATTCAATTACAGGTGGTTTTATAGCTCTAAAATACCTAGAAAAATGACCGGGGGTGTAAAAATTACTGAAATATCTTGATATCGTATTGTCAGAACATCTCACAATAATACTGTGGTCCATCACAATATATCGAATTGCAAGGTTTTTCACTTAAATCTATTAAAAAAGAGGGAACTGCACAGGCCATGATCCATTACTTAAATTACTACATAGTAAAATAACTGTTATTAAGCACTTTTAAATCTAATTTCTTTGGAATATGGCAGTAATGATTCACACTGAAGCAGAGGTGAGGACGTGCAAGTCGTGACTTGAGTCACTATTTTTACGACGAGCACTTGACGAGCACTTGACTAGATAAAATGGACTAAGACTTGGGACTCGATTTGGACTTGAAGATCAATGACTTGGGACTTGAATCGGACTTGAGGTCTGTGACTTGAAAAGACTTGAAGCACTTTTTAAATTTGAATTCTTTCAATTCTGATTGTAATGATTCACACGCCTGTTTTTGTCAGTGTTTTTCAGCTATAAAACCACCTATAATTGAATAACTGTAAGGTACAGTAGAGCTGCTTAATGTCATACTGTGGAACATTCCAGGCAAAACAAAGACAAATTTATGGAAACAAGCAGGTGATGGACCCCGAACCAGAAAGTTACACAGTGCACCCTTAAACAGCTCCACAAGCCTGCACATGGTAGGAATTCACGTTTGTGAAGGTGTTTTTGAGCTTTAAAACACTTGTAATTGAACAAATGCAAGGGAGATATGTTTAATGCTAGGGATGTAACAATAACCAAAATATCGTGATATCGTATTGTCAGAAGTCTCACAATAATATCGTGGGCCATCACAATATATTTAATTATAACGTTCTTTGCTTAAATTCATTGTTGTGGTGCAGCAAGAGTTTAATTACAGACAGAACTACATAGACCATGATTCTTTACTCTGTTTTCGTCCAATCTAGCCAAGCTGGAGCCACCTAGTGCCTCCGCTCAATTTCATTTCTCTCCAGCGACTAGGTCAGGAATCGGAATACACTAGACAGTTTGCAAAAACTGCACACCAGCCAATCAGTGAAGAGCTGTGAAGCCATGACGTCAAAGTCAAGCATCTGTCTGGGTCCGTTTTGTGGCAAAGCACAACAGTAAACAAAGCGGTCGAGATGGATGTGGACGAAGACAGACATTCTGTGTTGGTAACGATTCACGAGATCGAGGATTTAAAGCTGGAACAAATATAAGAATGTTTGGTGAATTTTATCAAGGGGAAAAACGTTAATTGCCCTTTTTCCTACGGGATTTGGTGGATTACATACATCACGACCAAATAGCAGCGATTGGTTAAATAAAAAAAGTACCCGCCTACTGTCGAGCGAACGAATCCTAATGCTGCGAGGTCAGATGGTTTCCACGAAGTGAAACCGGCTGATGAATCGGGCTAAGTCCAATTTACATGATAAAACAACTGTTATTAAGCACTTTTAAATCTTAATTATTTGGATTATGACGAAAGAAAAGTAGCATATTCAGAATTTTGTTAACTTGCGCAAAATATCGCAGTAAATATCATACGGTGAGATGCATAATGTGAAAATATCGTATAGAGAGATTTGGATATCCCTATTTAATGCCCTACTGTGGAACATTCCAGGCAAAAAATTATAACATCTTCATGGAGACAAGCAAGAAACAGACCGTTCACCTTAGAAGTTCCACAGTGCCCCTTTAAGTATTCCTAAACTTCTGAGTGAAATACTGAGTCCGTATTGACAAAACTATTGATCTGGATAATAGAGGGCTTACAGCTGCTCTCACCCTGACGCAGCTATTTGCAAAAACAAACATAATAAATTCAAGATCTCAAACTTCGTGAACACGGCGCTCTGCAAACTTTTCTGAGGAAGCGTCTCTCCTCTTCACACACCAGAGTAAAGGAAGTCGTAAGTCAGTTTGAGCACTTGTTGTCTTAAAGTTGTTGTGGTAGTAAAACTCCAAACCCCCCAAGGAGCTGTTAACTACCATCGCAATCATGTTAATGCAAAAGATCTAGAGTTTAGTTTTAATGATGAAGAAATGTATGATGTGGATTTAGTTCATTTTGGTAAATTTTATAAGTCAACTCTTTACAGTATTTACAGTATTCAGACCAAACCTAACTTTAACTTTTAAGCCTTTCTCTTCCTGCCAGATCCTCTGAGTCTGTAATTCAGTTTAAGACTAGACTGAAAACTCACCTGTTCTCCCTGACATTTAAATCATCTTTGTTTTCACATCTTAAAACTTCCTTTTTTTGTTTGTTTGTTTTTTAAAATTTGGTTCTATTCTTATTTTCCATTTGTTTATATCATTGTTATATAAAGTATACAATCTTTTTTTAAATTTTCTTTTAATCAGGTACTTGTTGCAGAGGGGAGTAAATTTGTCTTTTGTAATGTTAACCTGTAAGTTTTGTGTTCTGTCTATTGTATTGTATCATGTATTACTAATATTTTGTGTTTTTTGGACCCCCTCGAAAACATATCTCAAGAGGCATTCCAATAAAATAACATATAATAATAATAAAATAAAATAAATAGACAGGATATCTTGGCATTTTATTGTAGTTTTCACATCTTTATATCGTTTTTTTCTGTTTTTGTTGACTTTTATGTGAAGCACCTTGGTCAGCTGAAGTTATTTTAACCCATTAAATGAATTTATATAGATGTATATTACACTTTTTTTAATATACATCTATATAAATTTAAGTGTGTTTATGTGTGCTTTTAAGTAGATGGTAAATGAAATTGAGATTATTCATTTGACTATAGCAAAGAAAATAAATAGAAATTTTGGTATGTTCCAAATTTGTGACAACTAGAAACAAGTTCTTGCCAGAGGTTCCTAGGAAGATCCTGCATATGCACTAAATGCAGCCGCTGTCTCGGCTTATATCTTGATCCAAACGGTTTGTTGCATATTTGTGACGGTCGGCGTTAAAGGTTGTATAGAGGATTTTCCAAGGAACGAGAAATCCAGCGACTGTTTGTCCTTTTTCAAATGTTGCGCATGCGTGAAACCCCCCCTCCCCTTACAGCTCCTACGTAGAAACGCCTCCTCCTGCCTCCTCCTTACGCCAGAAACAGGTTTGTTTACAGCCGGTGCTGCACATGACTTGTAAACAACTAACTACAGTGTTGGTTAGGCAAGACGGAGAAGTGAGGAGCGGGGGAGCGGGTGTGCGGACATTTCGTGCGCGGACGAGAAGTGAGGAGCAGGGAGAAAGCGGAGCAGGAGAGAGGAGAGGAGAGAGGAGAGAGGAGAGGGGAGCGGAGATTCCGTGCCCGGAGAAGTGAGGAGCAGGGGGAAGAGCGGAACGGGCAGCGGGGACAGGAGCAGGAAAGGGGTGCAGAGAAGGTTGCGCGGAGATTCAGTGCGAATGAACTAGCTACAACACGCAGCAGCAAGCGGAACTCTTTCTTTGCCTTGAAAATTGACGTTTTCAGACATAGGATATCGCTTTCATGTCCTGAAAAACGTTTGACTAGCTCTTGGAAATAAAGTACGTTTTCATAATAAGCAGAAGTTTGACCTGTCCAGGAGTAATTTGTGGACCAGTGCGTCAGTCTTTAGACCCTGCGTCTGCTTCAGTTGCGCCATCGCTGGAATGAATCTTCAAGAATCACCTTAGTTTGGCTTCGCTGCTTTTCCCCTTGTCTTCTTCTTTCAGCGACCTCAAAAACGGACTTTCTTTTGCGGCTAACTGCTCCTGGATTCTTGTCGCCATTGCAACAAACTTTGTGCAAACTGCGAGGAAGATATAGGTCAAAAAAAGCCGCTAAGAACTGTTGCGTTGGTGGAGTAAACAGCGTCTGTGCGTCTTGCATCTGTGGACTGCGTGACAGTCGTACGTAAACCACGTACCGGCGGCGCAGGCAAGTCAGTTACACTAGAAACGTAGGGAGATTGATTGACAGCCTGTCAGCTAACAGATAACGAGGCAGTGTCGTTATCTATTGGCAAATGTTTAGCCCCACCACGTCCAGAGTTGATGAATTTTTATTCTCTTTTTTTTTGGTCATCATAATTACAAGGCTACTGCACCTCTATAATCTATCACTGACAACTTGAAACAAAAAAAAATCCTTCATACAACCTTTAAGGGGTTAAATGTGCCATATAAATTAACTTGAATTTAATTGAATTTTGAATTAAGCACCATAGATACTACTTGCCTAACCTTAAATGTGCTCTACCTGATCTTAAAAACGTGAAAAACCTAAAATAGTTCCCAGTACTTTCTTTTATATTTCCATGTGGTCTCATATCTGTGTACTCTCTCAATAGTCCATGGGTGTATACTAGTCTATGCGCTCTTACACCTATATACTTATGCAGCTCAAGATGATTGTAAAGCTATACATGCGTCCCGAATTTTGGACGTCCGGTCATCGTGCAATGCATACTGGGAAGGATTCTCCGAAAAAGTGAGCATCAAACTTCCATGTTTGATTTTCCAGTGGGATGCGTCTATTGTCAAAGCCTTTTCAGGTCTTTTGAACCATATCACTTTTGTTTCTGCTTCTGATATTGTCATATTTTAGTTTTAGGATTCGGACATCATAATTGTGTGGTTGTTGGATCCTAACAGCGGAAAACAGCTCGAGAAATGGGCTTCGGAAGTTTACGAACTCCATAAATGCAAAAGGGAATCAGATCTGTGTGACTGCAAACCTCCGTTCAAACTGTTTCCCTTCCCAACGGAATAGAAAAAAGCAAACATTTTGTATGTGTAGCGCCATCAAAGCAAAATCTTGTTTGTTAAATGAGAGGTACAGAAGACTAACAGGCTGAGCTCGCACTTTCTTGTTCTTGTGGTTTTACAGCAGCATCACGTCTCGGTCGCTTTGCAGTGGAAGATGTTTCTTGGCGAACTGCTGGTTCCTTTCACTTTGTCGTTGACTTTTTAAATTTGTAACCAAGGTTGAGCGATGGATCAGGATTTAGCTTTCACGGCGCTCCACATACAAAATGTTCCCTGCAAACATGGGATGATTTCTCAGTCAGTCAAATGTTTCCTTTTTCGTCCTTCCTGTGGATCAATCCTGCCCATCGCCTTCGCCTTCCACTATTTTTCAGTTCGGTGGGAAGGGAAACAGTTTGATCGGAGGTTTGCAGTCACACAGATCTGATTCCCTTTTGCGGTTATGGAGTTCGCAAACTTCCGAAGCCCATTTCTCGAGCTGTTTTCTGCTCTCAGGACATCCAACAACCACACAATTACGATGTCCGAATCCCAAAACTAAAATATGACAATGTCAGAACCAGAAACAAAAGCGATATGGTTCAAAAGACTTGAAAAGATCGGCTTTGACAATAGACACATCCCACTGGGAAATCAAACATGGCGGGTTGATGCTCACTTTTTTGGAGGATCCTTCCCAGTATGCATTGCGTAAGTCTTAAATTCAGCATGCATGTATTCAGGAAAGGTTCATTTCTGTCTTTTTCATGTCAGTACCTGCTCAAATATTTACAATTAGCATCTGATTTTTATACATTTGACCATTTTTAATGTGAAATGTGTGCATGTGTAAATGTTTGTCTGTTTTTAATTATGAGTCTTGATTAATTGTTGTTTGTACGATGTCCTTGAGTGCCCAGCAAAGCGCTTATAAATAAAATGTGTTATTATTATTCATTAAATCCAGACTATACAGTAAGATAAACCCCCCTGTGCATCAACATCACTAATAACACTTTTATTTTCTTTTATTTTTCGGGTGTTCATACTCACTCCAGCCGAAGAACGGGGGCAGGCTCCAGCCCATGGAGTAGACCCAGGCCACGGCGCAGATGAGCAGGGCTTTCTTTCTGGACATGACCCCCAGAGAGGCCAGGGGGCGGGTGATCACCACGTACCTGTCCACCGCAATCACCATCAGCGTAATCATACTGCAGATCCCGAAGAGCGCGCCACAGAAGGCATACAACTCGCACACTGCGGAGAGAAGAAGAGGCGGGTGAAGGTACAGTCTGCTGAGAAAGTCACTCATGTTAAGATGTAAATTAAATATGTAGTCAAAAGTACTGAAAATCAAGGTAGAGTGTTTGTCCACTGGCGGTTCGAAGTTTTTGTTGTTGTTTGCCTGTTGTTGTTATCTTGCCAGGCCTATTAGTTGTTGTGTCCTTGGGCAAGACACTTAACCTTCCTCGCCCCAGTCTCTGTGTGTGAATGGGTGAGTTGTTTCTTGATTTAATGTGCTTTTGAGTGCCTTGAAAGTGGAAAAAAGACCATAAAAAGTGACCATGTAGCATACTAAAACTGGAATCGAAACTAGTGTGATGGAAATTTATATTGCGGAAAGATTTCTCTCAATCTGTCTTTGTGTAAATGAACGTGATTTCTACCCAGAACCAGACCCCCAAAGGAAAATTAAAATGGTGATTAGTTTATCTTTTAGAAACACATTTGGTCTTGTAACTAAAACTCATTTGGTTTGGTAATTAAAGACAGTGTTAGAAAGACTCTTCGATGTAAACTCTTCTGCTCCCATTTGCCTGCTGATCTTGTCATGAAGTTACAAATGCCAGAATATGGAGGCAAATCAGATTAAGCACATCTGGCCACACCTTAGGAGGAGTCGTCACCTTCTCACTTTGAAGTGTATGTCCTCTGGTCATCTCAGGGCCTGTCCACACGACAATGTTTTTGGTCGTAACGGTGAAGTTTGTATTCGTGTTGGTCTTTCGTCCACACGGAGCTGGCGTTTCGGGTGGGTGAAAACGGTGTATTCTAATGATTCTCATCCCAAATTTATGGCTAAAAATGAAAACTTATGTTCAACTTTTGTAAAACTAAATGGCTATATTTCTGGGATACATCTAAAATAGGCTAAATTACCTTCAAGTTTAAAAAACGGTGATGAGATCTGCATTATTAAATATTATTATTGTTTACAGCGCCACATACAGGTGTGGCATATGTATTACATCGTTTTTTGCTCAGTGCTCCAATGTCGTGTGGACGTTAATATTTATTCAACACGTGTGTGGACTAGGGACGGGCATTCGATGAAATTTTCTTAATCGATCGTCGGAAGAATTAACAATCGATTATCGATTAATCATTAACGTTTTTATATTAAAATGATCATCATTATTATTACTATCTGCACTACTAATCTGCATAAATAAATTCAACTTTACCACATATAAACCGTAACGACTCAAGAGCCACATCAGCTGTTTGACATTATAATGTGTTTAATGCAGTTTCGTGCAACTCTCACAGAAACGAAACTTAAAACCACATGGCTAATTTGCATAAACTCAGTGAAAATAAAAATACAGCTCTTGTGTCGCTGATGCGGTCAGTTTCTGTCGGATTAAAAGACATGACTCAGTGGAATACAGGTTAGTGTGACCAGATTTGCATTTGTCAAAACCAGGACACTGTACGAGGGGAGGAAGGTGGGGACTCGTCATCGACATTGCGCGACTCTCACCTGGTAAAACTTTTTCCCACTGGACACCGAAACATATGTTCTTGCTTTATACACTGTGCACATGGACTCACACTTGTCCCGAACGCAACGGAAAGCGTGGAATTTCTTGTGCAAATCATCGTTACATACGCATTTGTGCTTCGGTACGCTGCAGACTGACCGAATGTTTGTGTCTCGCTCCTTCTGATGCAGAGAGACACATGTACGGACCCTGTTTGGTCACACTACGCACAGCAACCTACATTCGGTTTGTCGATTAAAATTAACGTAATCGATGAAATTCTTAATGATCAATTATCGATTAATCCATTAATCATGCCCATCCCTAGTGTGGACTCAAAATTTTTTCAGCCCAAACAAGAAAAAATCCAGGGGTGTTGTCGGGTGGACGTAGCCTAAAACTCATTTGGTTTGGTAGTTACAGACAGTGTTAGAAAGACTCTTCAATGTAAACACTTCTGTTCCCTTTTGTTTGCTAATCTAGTCAGGAAGCGACAAATGCACGTGAATATGGCCCCAAATCAGATCAAGCACATGTGACCACACCTCAGAAGGAGTCGTCACCTTCTCACTTCGAAATAGTCATCTCAGTGGATATAAACTTTGTGCTTTGTAACATTAGAGGGCAGATGGAGGAGGAACATATTACTGAGGAGGGCCCTGTCCATATCTGCTGGAACAAGAATAGGCAAGGCAAGGCAAGGCAAGGCAAGTTTATTTGTATAGCACAATTCGTACACAAAGTAATTCAAAGTGCTTTACAGAATAAGAAATACATTAAAATCATAATAAAAACAAATCAAAACATAAATAATCATGAAGATTAAAATTAAAAAAGAGAGAAGAGTGCGGAATGAAAACCTTTCAGTTATATGCACAGTTAAACAGAAATGTTTTGAGTCTGGATTTAAACAGCGTCACAGAAGAGTCTGTCTCACATGTTCAGACTGTTCCAGGTTTTAGCTGCATGAACCTGAAACTCTGACTCCCCTTGTTTAGTCGTGACTCTGGGCACCAGCAGGAGGCCGGTCCCTGAGCTCCTCAGAGTGTGAGATGTTCATATGACACTAACATGTCACAGATGGACTTTGGTGCTCGGCCATGGAGAGACTTGTACAAGCAGAGCTGCTTTAAAGTCTCTGAGGCACAGGAGCCAGTGCAGAGACCTGAGCACAGGACTTATGTGCTCGTACTTCCTAGTTCGAGTAAGGACCCGAGCTGCAGCGTTCTGGATGTTCTGGATGTTCTGGATGTTCTGCAGCGTCTCACAGCTCGTTTGGAGAGACCAGTGAACAGACCATTACAGTATCTAACCTACTGGAGACAAATGCATGGATAAGTTTCTCCAAGTCTGATTTAGACAGTAAACCTTTGATTTTGCTATGTTTTTTAGATGGTAAAAGGCTGCAGATGTTATTGATTTTATGTGACTGTTAAAGTTCCATTATTACCCCTAGATTTCTTGCCTGATTTGAAGGTTTTAGAGCGAGAGACTGGAGAATAAACCGTGGTCTATATTCCAAAAACTCATCGGGCTTCGCAAATAGATTAATTATTTATCATCAAGAGATATATACTTTTTTCCACAACTCTAGAGACTCATGATACTAAAAAAGTCACATTCACAGGACAGAAATGAAGCTTTCCTGATCAGCTTTAGAACGATCTTGAGCTGTAGAAGAGCACATAGACTAATATACGCCCACGAACCACCGAGGGATTACACAGATATAAGACCACATGGGAATGTAAAAGAAAGTACTATGATTTAATGTTGAAAATCACATTCTGTTGTCTAAAGTAGCGGTCCCCAACGTTTTTTTGCGCTACAGACTGGTTTAATGTCAGATAATATTTTCACGGAAAGGCGTTTAACGTGTGGTGGATAAATATGACAAAATAAAATGATACGACCAACACCAAAACTGTGGTATTTTGTAAATATACTTCCAAAGACGTCTGTTTTTTACTCATTTTGCAGCTTGTGGATTTGGTATTAGCGTTAATGTATAACGTGACCGAGCCAAGCATCAAGAGTGAGTCATAGACAAATGTAACAAAGAGAATTCGGTCTTTTTTTTGTCTTTTTTCTGGGGACCCATATTTTAAAAGTCACAAACCTTCACAACCCAAGTCAATAGACATTATTCATAAATCACAAAATAAATTTGTGACCTTAATTGAACATGAGAATAATGAGAATATTTTATTGTTGACTGAGTGATCGTGTCTCTCTGAACAATTTGTATTACCGTATTGTTCGGACTATAAGGTGTACTGGATTATAAGGCGCATTAAGCAAAACAAACGGATGACACTGGAGACTTGAGACGTTTTTATTTCCTACAAGGAGGACTCAAATATACATCGAGTAATAATGTGTTTAAAGCAGCTTTGCACACACTTGTTTACGTTTTACAGAAACTTAAAACCACATGGCTAATTTGCATAAACTATCAGCGATAAAAAAAACAGCTCGCTCCTTGTGCGCTGATGTGGTTAGATTCTGTCGGATTAAAGAACACGACTCAGTGGAATATGAGTGTAAATCGGTTCGAGGTCAATAAGCACAACCAGAATTAATACATCAGGCGCACCAGATTATAAGGCGCACTGTCGATTTTGCAGAAAATTAAGGGATTTTGAGTGCGCCTTATAGTCCAAAAAATATGGTATTCAAGTTTTAAACAAGGAAAAACAGTAATCAGTGTTTCCCACAGAAAATAGGTAAGGTGATGGCGCTGAAAAAGTGAGGAGCAGGGAATGCGCGGAGATGTATGTATATGTATATTGCAGACCTACATGCAGAAGGTGACCTCAAAAAAAAAATAAAAATAAAAATGTATCTTGCGCGACCCAGTCTTTGGGAAACAAAGGTCTAAAGGAAGTGTTTTTTTTTGTTTTTTTTCATTGTGGTGTCAGAATCAGTATTGACTATCAAGTCTGTTTCTTAGTCGAAAAATCAAAAATGAGTTATGAATAATAAAAAGTATAGTGCAGTGTTAACATAAAAAATGTCATTATTGTCATTAATTTAAAGGTTAGCCGTAACTAACTATGCCACATGAACCAAGGAAATGCTTCTTCCCTTTAATTGTCCACAGTAGAGCCTTGAGCTCATCTGTCTCCATGGAAACAAGCAAAGAGCACCACCAGGCCAAGTTACAGGTCAGATCCATGCAGGGGTAACTCAGATTTATACACGCTTACGAGCAGATTGGTATTATTGTCGAACAAGGCTTCATCTGTCTGTTCAAATCCCAGGAATGAATTTTGAAGTTTCTAACAGGTGTGTGGGTTTATAGAGCCATCTGACACTCATAATGATCTAAAATAAGACACGCCATATGGACCGGCACTGGTTTATGGAAAATGACAGATTTAGTTTTGTTTTGTTTGTTCAGTTGCCTCTTATTATTGCTTTACTGTTTAAACAAATGATATAAGACAGTGTTAGTGTTTAAAGTGTTCATATTACACTGTTTTCTCATCT